TTTTTTTACATGATCTCTTGCCTGGGTACTGATTTGTGTTAAACAGCAGCGTTTGCTTCCCTTTCGTATTTTGTTAGGTGTTGAAAGCAGAAAGTGCTGAGTTAGAGACTCCAGTATCGTCTCGTATTAATATCTGGGCTGCAAACTACCTTTTTTAATACCCAGAAAAATGCTTAAAGTCCTCTTGTCCAGTTCGGTCTAAAACTGAAGAGATACACAAATCCTGACGTCTTAGACTACAATGCTTTTGCCTTCGGGACACTTAATGCCTATTTGTATATGTAGAGACAGGGTTTGAAACCTATAATGCACAGGACACTGAGTTAAGTGGAGCTTTTCTAGTTTATAAACAATCTGCAAAAAGTTTGGAATCGATTTAACCTCTTTTATGTTGGCCTTTTGCATAAGGCACTGCTTTGTGTGGCAGGATTAAAAAAAAAAAAAAAAAAAAAAAAAAAAAAAAAAAAAAAAAAAAAAAGGCTTTGCCGAAGTCGCTCTGAAACTGGAAGACGAATATATATCTTTCTGTACGAGAAAGCCTTTGATTATATATATATGTGAGAAGTGTCCTGCAACCGGACCCGCTCGAAAAGCCTTCAGAAAAGAAGAGGGGGGTGGAAGCTTAGCGCATCCTGACGGGCTTTTTAAATGCTATTGATTGGGACAAGCTGTTCAAAACCCCAGTAACAGTTAATCTGCCTGTTAATCAAGCCACTAAGGAGCTCAATGCGAGTTTTATTAGCAACTGGAGAACACAGGCAGCAGAAAGGATCAAAAGCCTACACCCTTGATATTTGTAAAACCAGCCTTTCCCAAAAATATATTTTCAATTACAGAGTAATTCGGAGCTTATCAGGGCTCTCACGCAGCCGGTCCCGCGGGCGCTGCCAACGCCACGAAACCAAACGAAGCAGCACCGCGCCGGCCCCGCCGAGGTGCGGGGTTTAAAAATAACGCGGCTGAGAGGGGGTCCCGCTCTCGTTTCTCTCCCACCGCGGGCTCTCCCGGCCTCCCGAATTAGCAGCAAAACCTAAATTTGGCAACCCACGAGGAACCGATAGAGAAACTCTTCGGATTCGCGTCAACTGTGTTATTAGGTTGAGGGCTCTTGTGCTTTTAGCTGGCATATTTGATTTATCACGGCAAGTTTGCAGGGTACGTTCCCCTCTGCCCATCCTTTTGGTGGAGCCGCTCATTTAATGCCTAAAAAAAAAAAAGTTTAAATCGCAAGATTCGTAAGTTGGCGAGCCTGAAAGTTGAATTTCAATTAATTTAATGACCAGAAATATTATTATATCGGCTAAAATCAACATTTGATCTTGTCATTTTTAATGCAAACCGATTGCTTTATATGTCAGCGAGATATGCATATAAAAGACTATCTGGTCAGAGGTAATTATGTCACAGCTTTTTCTCGGCATGACAGCTGGATAAACACCATCTCCAATAAACATCTCTAATTAGGGAGGAGGATCTGAGATAGATGGTGTTTGATTTATTACTGAAGGAGAATGTCCATTTACCGGTATAGTATAGCGAAGCGTCACAGGGAGCGTTCCCGCTAACGCACCATAAGGAATATTTGGAGATGCTCGAGGACAGGTAAGCGGTGTTTTAGGTTTTACGCTGTTAATTTTTTTTCGTGTTATCTCGGAGGAAGAACGACCTTTCTAGGGTATCTCTCTCCCGCTGACACCCTGATCTAGCAGAGGCACCTAGGGCTCGGAAAGCAAGCCTCAGTTTGGAGGCCGAGAGGTGTTCGCCTCTCGGCTACCGGACCTTCCCCAGCCCGAGTAAGGCGACCGAGCCTCCGCGGCGACCAACGAGCCCCTGGCGCTACCCAGGGAAGGGCGGCTGGGACGCGGCCCCCGACGACATCCCGCCTCGCCTCCCCTCCCCGCAGCCTCGCCACCAGTCCGCCTTTCCGCGCCTCTCAGAGGGGAAAGCGCACGGAACCTCGGT